TAGCCAGACTCATCAAGAAACAGAGAGAAGACACAAATAAGTAAAGTAAAAAACAAAAGTGAAGAAGGCACCACAGAAATACAGAGGATTGTAAGAAAATATTATGAACAAATATATGCCACAAGCTAGACAATGTAGATCAAATAGACATATTCCTAGAAAAATATAATCTCCCAAAACTGAACCAGGAAGAATAAAAAACTTGAATAGGCCAATAACAACTGATGAAGTAGTAACAGTACTGAAAACTTTCCCACCAAACAAAAGCCCAGGTCTGGACAGAGTCATAGGGAAGTTTTTCCAAACACTCAAAGAACTAACACCTTTAGTCTTAAAATTATTTCAGAAAATTCAAGAGGAAGGAATACTTTCAAACTCTTTTTATGAGGCCAGAATTATTCTAATTCCAAAACCAGACAAATACATTACAAAGAAAAAGAATTACAGGCCAATATCCCTGGTGAACATATGCTAAAATTCTCAACAAAATATTAGCAAATCACATCCAGCAATGTATTAAAAAGACCATACACCATGATAAAGTAAGGATGCAAATCTGATACAATATTTTCAAATCAATAAACATGATAATTCACATAAACAAATTCAAAGAAAAAAATCACATGATCATATCAATACATGCAGAAAAAACATTAGACAAAATCCAACACCCATTTTTGATAAAAACTCTCAGGGAAGCTGCAACAGAAAGAGCAGATTTCAACATGATAAAGGCCATATATGACAAACCTATAGCCAACATCATACTCAATGGGCAAAAACTAAAACCATTTCCCCTAAGAATATGATCAAGATAGGGATGCTTACTTTCACCCCTCCTGTTCGACATAGTATTGGAAGTGCTAGCCATAAGAGATCAGACAAGAAGAAAAAAATAAAAGACATCCAAATTGGAAAAGAAGTAAAATTGTAAATATTCCCAGATTATATGATATTGTACATAAAAACCCCCAAAGAGGCCATCAAAAAACTACTAGAGTTAATAGATGAATCCGGCAATGTAGCAGGGTACAAAATTATCACCCAGAAATCTGTGGCTTTTTTGTACACCAATAATGAACTCACAATTCCATTTACCATTGCAACAATAAAATTAAGATACTTAGAAATAAAGTTAACTAAGGAGGTAAAAGACATATAATAAAAAAAACTACAGAATGTTGAAAAAGAGATAGAGAAGACATAAACAAATGGAAGAATATACTGTGTTCATGGATTGGTAGAATCAACATCATTAAAACTTCTATACTACCCAAAGCAATTTATAGATTCAATGTAATTCCCATTAGGATACCAACACAAACCTAGAAAAAACTCTCCAAAAATTCATCTGGAATAACAAAAGATCCTAAATAGCTGCAGTGATCCGGGGAAAGAAGAACAAAGTTGGAAGGATCAAAATACCAGATATCAAGCTATATTACAAAGCCACTGTTCTCAAAACTGCCTGGTATAGGCATAAGAACAGACATACAGACCAATGGTACCAAACAGAGAACCCAGAGATGGACCCAAGCCATTATGTTCAATTAATATTTGATAAAGGTGACAAGAGCATACAGTGGAGTCAAGATAAATCTTTTTAATAAATGGTGTTGGGAAAATTGGACAGATACATGCAAAAAAAAGAAAGAAAGAAAGAAAGAAAGAAAGAAAGAAAGAAAGAAAGAAAGAAAGAAAGAAAGAAAGAAAGAAAGAAAGAAAGAAAGAAAGAAAGAAAGAAAGAAAGAAAGAAAGAAAGAAAGAAAGAAAGAAAGAAAGAAAGAAAGAAAGAAAGAAAGAAAGAAAAGAAAAAGAAACTAAACTAACTTACACCAAGTACAAAAATAAACTCAAAATGGATAAAGGACTTAAATGTAAGATGGGAAACCATAAAAATCTTAGCATGATCCATAGGCAGCAAAATAGTAGATATATGCCATAGCAATATCTTTACCTATACAGCTCTTTATAACTATGGAAATTAAAGAGAAAATAAACAAATGGGACTACATAAAAACAAAAAGCTTCTGCACAACAAAAGAATCCATCAACAAAACAACAAGAAAGCCTACTGGGAGGGAGAACATATTTGCCAATGGTATATTTGATAAGAGTTTAATCTGTAAAATTTACAAGGAACTCATACTACTTAACCAAAGAGAGATAAACAATCCAATCCAAAAAATGGGAAAAGTATATAAACAGACACTTTTCGAAAGAGGATGTAAAGAAGGCCAAAATATATAGGAAAACATGTTTAAAGTCACATATCATCCAAGAGATGAAAATCAAAACAATAATGAGGTACCATCTCACACCTGTCAGAATCAACAAATCAACAAAAGACAAGTGCTGGTGAAGATATGGACAAAAAAGGTCCCTTGTGCACTGCTTGTAAGAATGGAGACTGCTGTAACCATTGTGGGAAACAGTATGGAGTTTCCTCAGAAAATTAAAAATGGAACTTCCATTTGACCTAGAACAAAAAATTCATCTGGAATAACAGAAGACCCCAAACAGCTGCAGCATTCTAGGAAAATATCCCAAGAAATCAAAAACACCAATCAGAAAGGATATATGCACCCTTATATTCATAGCAGCTAAGATTTGGAAACAGCCAAAGTGTCCATTAGCAGTTGAGTGGATTTAAAAACTGGGATACATCTACTCAATGCAATAAAACAGAAGGAATTCTTAACATTTGCAACAGCGTGAATGGAACTGGAGTGCATCATGTAAAGAGAAATAAGCCAGTAAGAGAAAGATAAATATCACATAATCTCACTCATTTGTGGAATATAATGAACAATATAAAATGATGAACAAAAATAGAGCCAGAGGGAAATAGTATTCTAGAATATAATAAAAGTAATCCTGTTATTTGTACATTTTTAATACTTCCTACAATGTTTGTGATACACTGTTAGTACAGTTTTGGTAATATTATTATACTTAAAATCCTTTTGTTTTCAAAATATTAATGTTTATTGCATGTAGTATTATTATTTGTAAGATCAGTTTTCTTACAAATGATAATTGGTATTTATTGCTTATAATATTATCATATTTAACATCATTTTTCTTGGGTTATTAATGTTTATTGCATGTAACATTATTATATTTAACATTGTTTTACTTGAAATATTAAGGTTTATTGCTATATTTAACATTACTATATTATATGTAACATTACTATATTTTAAATCATTTTTCTTGAAATAAAATAACTGAAAAAAAAGAATTATACATTACAACTTTATTCCATATGCTTTTCCTTGCATGATGAATAAAACATTATATATATTTTGAAAACTACCTGCAATTTATAATTATTGTAGATAGATATGTGTCTATAATAGCTATATACTTGTACTATGTATATACAGGTTAAAGCTGAGAAGTCTTAGATTTAAGTTGACAGATTATGCATACACTAGAGGCCTGGTGCACGAAAATTTGTGTACTTGGCGGGGGGAGAGGGGGAGGGCTCAGCCCAGCCTGCACCCTCTCAAAGCCTGGGAACCCTAGGGGATGTCCAACTAATGGCATAGGCCCACTCCTCTGTGGGAGGTGACTGGCGGGTCTATTAGGAATGGCATGGGCAGCAAGCAGCCGGCCCCACCCCCCATTGCACCACCATCACTGTTGGCCTCCCTCTGCAGGAGCGACCCCAATGGGCTTGTCTGGGGCTAGCAAGTGGCTGGCCCTGCCCCAAATTGCCCTGCCATGGTCACTGGTGGCCTCCCCCTGAGGGAGGCAACCTGTTGGGTGATCAGGGGATGGCACCAGCCCCCATCACAGTACTGCTAGTCATCGCCAGCCCCTCCCTCCCCCCCATTGCCATCCCCTTCCTGTGCCCACTGGCCCCCTGCTTGCCAGGCGCTCCCCTGTATCCCTTCCCACCCCCACTACCCTCCCACTGAGGTTGTTTTGCCATTCAGTTGATTTGCATATTTTGCTTTGATTATATAGGATAGAGTGGGTTAGTAGAGCATAATAGATTTCTAATATATTTTACTTGGAAAAATAAAAATAGTAACTAACATTTGACTGCTAACCATTCTATCTGTTATGAGAAATAATTGTTTTAATATGTAAACATACCTGGCACTTAGTAAGCATTCATTGAACGTAGGCCCTAGTTGGTATTTTAAGTGGTTAAGAGCATTGCCCCACACACTGAAGGGTCAAGGGCACAGATTCAACCCCCAGCTCCGGTCAGTGTGGAAGGCAACCAATCCATGTGTCTCTCTTACGTCAATGTTTCTTTCTCTCTCTCTCTCCCCACTTACTTTCACTCTCTCTAAAAATCAATGGAAAAATTATCCTAGGGTAAGAATTAATAACAAATAAAAAAGGTGGGCTATTAGTACAAGTATTAATACTACTAGTTATGGTAGCAGTAGTATTAATAAGGGAAGATTTAATATCATCAGTATAAGCTGTTTCTGATGATGTCTTTTCTCCATTTCAATTCAGTTAAATAAAAATAGGTATAGAGTAGTGATGTGGTTCAGTACTAAATAAAACCACAGATCAGATTATAAAGTAATTTGTAACTCTGAAATTTCAAATTCTAAGAACTACAGTTGTGTGTGCAATAAGTTTTAGGCCAAAAGTTTTAGGAAATTCTACTTTTAAAATATCTATGGAAAAATTTCAAATTTCAAATTTTATAGACATACAATATATTATAATTTCACTCATAGTTACACAGATAAATAAGACAAATATAATAAACAAACATCACATTTGTGATTGAAACTAACAATAAAAACTTGTAATTGTTATCAGGTTATTTTTCTATTTGACTTCCTTAGAGACAAACTAATTAATTAGAATTGAAAGTTTATAAGTTGTAGAAAATAACCTAGTGTGAGTTCTCTCAATTTGCTCCTCCCTATTTGTTCATTCCACAGATGTCATTACAGTATGTCCACACTGATGAAGAAAATGATCATTTTCCAAATAAACTGTGATTAAATTTTATATGATACCTGTTTTGTTCAATCAAAATTTTTAAAGTTCTTGGATTTGTCAAAACAACATCTGCATCCACACTGAAGTAATAATCACAGCTGTCATCCTGACGGCAAAAATCCCTGACATAGAAAAAGAAATAAGAATTAGAAAAAATATTTATTTGCTGTTGAAAAATGTTAATATAAATCTTATATGAAAAATAAAGTTTTTTTAACATAGTTTTCAAAGATAATATTCAAAAGAATAAATATTGTCTTCAACTTCAAAAAGGTCAATTTATCAACATAGATGTTCACAGATAGATCAACATTAAAAATTTTAGGCAGGTAAAATATGTTTTCAACCAGTAAATATTTTAGGACATAAATCAACTAGTCAGAATGGCAATTTATATTTTATAATTAAATCCTCTCTAAAAGGCAAAAATAATTTACCCCAATGTATTTATTAACAATATTTTACCCCAATAACTTACCACAATGTATTTATTAACAATATTGTAAAAAAACATTTTTGCACATGCACACATACACACACTGCAAAATATTGTATATCCACCAGCTCTGATTTTACTGAATCCTGGAGATACAAGTCAATGACTCTTTAGATATTAAAACTTTTAGAAGTTGATTTCATTTGATTTTTTTCTAAGATTATTACTCCTCTGCTTCTTACTAGGGACACTGACTTTTATGAATGCTTTTCTTGGTAGTTTGCAGTCCCCAATCAAGACACTGTGGAATGAACCACCTATGTTACATGAAATTCTTCCCAGTATTATGGTTCTGCATTTTGGGTCTTCCCTTTCTGGGCCCCCAGTAATCACTTTTAGGTATTACCAATGTGTATCTCCATACCACATCTGTTTCTAAGAACTATCAAACCACTACACCAGGCAGTAGTTAAATTTTTACATGTAATTTTTAAAATAAGTTTTGAATATGGACCCAAGGATACTCCAATAAAGAAGTTTGGAACTGAGGAACCAAGATGGTGGCATAGGTAAATGCTGATACTAGGATCCTCCCACAACCACATCAAAATTACAACTAAAATACAGAAACACTATCATTCAGAACTGCCTAAAAGTTGGCTAAATGTAAGTGCAACAACTAGAGAAGTAAAGAAAAAACACATCCAGACTGGTAGGAGGGACGGAGGCATAGAATGAGCTAGTATGATACCCACAGATTGTGTTTTTTTAATCTGGGGGGTAGGGGGGTATTTTGGCAGAGGAGGCCTCCCATGAGGAGCAAGGGTCCCAGCCCTACATCAGACCCTCCATCAAGGATACTAGAGCTGGAAAGAGAAGTCCCCATAACTTCAGGCTATAAAACCCAGCAGGGATTGAGGCTGAGTGACAGGGAGACTGCTGAAGAACCAGGCAGTTCCTCTTAAAGGGCCAGCACATGGACTTACTTAGACTCACTTCCTCTTAGCTCCAGTACTGGGCCAGCAGCTTTAAAGAATCCAGGGACATACAGGAACTAAATCATGTGGCATCTGGGCAAGAATTCAGGACAGCTTTCTCCCAGACAAAAGTGCTGGGATCTCCCACAAACAGAGCTGATTGACAGACAAATCTGAGTATCCATCAATCTGTTCCACACTGTTTGCCCCACCCTGGTGATTCCCTGAGATCCTGCCCTACCCAATTTGCAGCCATACCAAAGATGTTTGCAGTGGCTTTTCCATATGAATGACCTGTTCTGGGCTCAAGCTTCAGACTTATCTCAAATAAGGAACAGCTGTACTCTGTGTGCTCAATACCTCTTGATAAGTGGCCCCAGGCCAACCTTAGCAGCAGTTTGCTAAGGTCCACAGCTTGGTTTCTCCCAAACACTTCCTAGCATAACACAAATAGCCACTATCTGCAGATTGTTCTGTAGCTCATGCCAGGTGGTCCCAGGTAGTGGCTGACTTTATACCTCTGGGAGGCCACAGAGCCAGTGCACCCAGTGGACAGATTCAGTCTGCACCAGATTACAACTCTACTACATCTATGAGCCACACACTCAAGGGATAGACTCAGTGAACACCAAAACCCCAATGAAAGAATTCCAGCTCTATAAGAATGTTTCATATACAGCAGCTCTTTGCAGCAGGGCCTCACAGCCAATTGCCCTGGAGGTCAGTTCCTCCCGTGTGATGGCAACAGCAATCGAGCCTCAACTACAACAGGACAGGGTACACAGCCCACACAAGAGCATACCTAAAGTGCCTAGCTCAGGTGACTTGGGAGGCTGAGCCACTGGGCCCCACAGGACACCTACTACACAAAGACACTCTACCAATTCCAGGAAACAAAGCAGCTCTATCTAATACATAGAAACAAATACAGGGAAGCAGCCAAAATGCAGAGGCAAAGAGATATGTCACAAATGAAAAACAAAATAAATTTCTAGAAAAAGAACTAAATGCAAGCAAACTACTAGATTCAGATTTCAAAACAATGATTATAAGGATGCTCAAAGGAATTTAATGAGAGCATCAAGGAAATTAGTGAAAATGTCAAGGAGCTTAGTGAGAATTTTAAGGAAATTAGTGAGAACATCAAAGACTTGAAAAAGGACCAGTCAGAAATGAAGAATACACTAACTAAAATAAAGAATAAATAACAGGGAATCAACAGTAGAGGACGCTGGGAATCAAATAAAAGATTTGGAATATGAGAAAGCAAAAACACCCAATACGAAGAGCAAAAAGAAAAAAAAGAACCCAGAAATATGAAGATAGTGTAAGGAACCTCTGGGACAGCTTTAAGCATGCCAACATTAACAGAATGGGTGTGCTGAAAGGAGAGAGACAGACCAATATATTGAAAACCTATTTGAAGAAATAATGACAGAAAACTTTCCCTACCTGGTGAAAGAAATAAACTTACAAGTCAAGGAAGCTCAGAGAGTTCCAAATAAGAGGAATCCAAAGAGGACCACACCAAGACACACTATAATTAAATGCCAAGGGTTGAAGACAAAGAGAGAATATTAAAAGCAGCAAGAGGAAAGCAATTAGTTACCTATAAGGGATGCCATAGGACTGTCAGCTGATTTCTCAATAGGAACTGCAGTCCCAAAGGGAGTGGCAAGAAATATTCAGTGATGAATGGCAAGGAACTAAAACCAAGATTACTTTACCTAGCAAAGCTCTCATTTAGAATTGAAGGTCAGATAAAGAGTTTCACAGACAGGAAAAAGCTAAAGGAGTTCATTAACACCATGCCAATGATACATGAAATGATGAAGAGTAAGTAAAAGAGGGAAAAAAGGTTAAAAATATGAACAATAAAATGCAATAAATACATATTTACCAACAACTGAATGTAAAAATCAAAATAAATGAACAAGGAACAGAATGAACAAAATAAACTGATGAATAAATCAAAACCAGAGGCATATAAACATGAAACGGATTGATGAATCTCAGAGGGAAGGGGGAGGGAAGATGAGAAGAAATTAAACAAATAATTTATATGCATATATGCATTACCCATGGCACAAACAATAGAATGGTGAAGGCCTGGGATGAGGCAGGATCTGGTTGGAGGAGGGCAAAGGGGAAGGGAAGGGAAAGGGCAACATTTGTAATACTCCCAACAGTAAAGACATTTTAAAAGTTATAGAATTCTTAGTGAAAGCATCAGTTTGGTTTTTCTGAGATCTGTTTTCCCACATATACCTCTTCCTCCCCTAAACAGTATCCATCCCACTGAGCCCTAAGCTTCCTGTTCCCACCAGGGAACAGGAAGTCACCAGAACTTATTTGCCTTTTCATTAACAGATATTAACCCACTGCCTGGAATATTCATTTAACATTTACTGAATAAAATACTTTTAAAAAAATCTTTATTCAGAGGAAGGGAGTGGAGGATAGAAACATCAATGATGAGAGAGAATCATTGATTGGCTGTCTCCTGCATGTCTCCCACTGGGGATGGTGCCTGCCACCCAGGCATGTGCCCTTGACTGAAATCAAACCCAGGACCCTTCAGTCCTCAGGCCTACACTTTGTCCACTGAGTCAAACCAGCTAGGGCAAAGAATGCTTTTATTTTCAAATAATTTTATTAGTAATCTGTCTGAAGTATTATATTTCTTTGTTGCAGTATCTTCTAGATCAGTAGGTAACTAGAATGTAGGAATACCCTTTCCCCCCTTAGTCTAAGACACTCATTTTTACCACACACGTCCTTCAAATAAACATTTAAATCACTACTTATATAAGTCATACTATATCTTTGTCTGAGTATTTTTTAAAATCTTGATCTGTAGTTTAATTAAGTATGTAATCTCTTAGCCATTAAAAGAAAAATGTAAGTAACTTCCATGGCCCTTTAAATATAATTGCAGATAGAGTTTAACAGTAGAGGATGTTCACACCTGTGCATACACACACACACACACACACACACACACACACACACACACACACAATTGAGACATCCAAGTTTAGGGTACTAATTTTTTTTAAGTTTATTTAGTACAAATTGTTTAAATTAAATTTATTAAAACATACATTCCCATGTTTCTGGCTTCGGCTTGACTCAGATTTTCTTCTGGTCCTACTATTTTTATAGTACTGATTTCATGTTTAGCTTTATCAAAAAATACCTTGATGTGCTTTTCATGATAAACTTCCTGTAACAAAATTTTAAAAGATAAAATTAGTGGAAAAGAAGACAATAAGATGATTGAAGTAATCATATGTAGGGGTGAGGTCACATTCAAAGAGGGAAATTCCACAATGCATATATTCACTCACAGACCAAATGATAACCAAATTAAGCATGCTTCATTTAAATAGCATCTAAATGTCACACTTAGAAGCTCAAATAAATACATATAAATATGTTTTAAGGAGAATATATCTCAATATTATTTTAACATTTATTCCTAGACAGGTATTTACATAAATATTTAAATCCTGGGTTCTCTGAAGTGTTTCTAACTGGGAGTGTATGTGTGGAGTAATGGTGAAAAAATGGCTTATGGGCTGAGAATGTTAGAAATGTGTTATAAAATAGCCATTAAAATGCATATTAAACCTAATAAATATTAATCTAAGTTATAAATAATTTTCTGAAATAAATATTTCAATCTTCTGCGAAGTTAGAGGAACAAAAATAATGGTCATATATAAAATACTGAGTATTTTTTTTTAATTTCACAAAACAGTATATTTAACAAAATTTTATTGATGGGAAAACTACCAACATAAAGCCATCAAATTAGTTTCATTAAACTGTGCTAAAACTTCGATAAAATTATGTCTTCCTCAGAGCTTTTTATGTAACAAGTTTTATTAAGTATTTTTTAAAGTTTTTCATAAATTGTTAAAACTACTTGAAGCATAAAAACTACATAGAGTTAATTTTTCCTTCTTTCCTATGAAAGGAAGGAAGGCATAAATAAAAGATAATGTACGGTGGGGCAAATGTAAGCTTACAGTTATTTACATGGAAAATAACACAAAAATTAATAAGTAGTATAAGAATAAACTCTGTGTTTCACATACTCACAACTGTAAACTTTTGCCCCAAAATATTATCTGGAAAAGGCAAATGATTAGCTGACATGTACATGAGGAAGAAAGAATAGTGGTAAACAAAAATTATTAGGACAGAAGAGAGAAAACAGCATACTTAACAGCTAATGAGTTTTTCTAGATGATGTTAAATACTGTTTTAAACAGGAAAGAGGCAAATATGGAAAAGTATTGAGAAAAAAAAAGTCATTAAGTTCAGATTATATGTGAGAGCTGTTTGGGAAGCTCTGAATATTTCTGAAAGAGATGAAACTATTTAATCCTTTGGGGAAGAGCATGCCATTGAAAGAATACTCTACCTGCAAGATATTTCAAGTTCTAATGCCATGGTGTTATTATTAGCTACAAATAATTTAATGATAGATTCTAAAAACAAATTGCCAGAACTAATACAAAAGTAAAGAAATATAAGGACCTCTTTTACGGACATCTTTTTATTACATATAAATTGAGCCATTGGAAATGGCTGATATTCAAAAAATTTTGATCTACAAAGTGTGTTAGTTTCATGAGGCTTATCCCAATAGTATTATACTAATTTCTAGACTCTTATCTTTAGGTCTTAAAAAATCAGGGCAGTAATTACTCCAAAAAACCCTTACTTATTTTAGCCGATTGGATTTTTTTCCAGACACAAATAGATAATAAGAAGTAGTTCCAAAGAAAATAAAAAACACTACTTTAAAGATTTAATTTAAAAATACTTTTTACATAAATTATTAATATCTCAAATACTTACTTTGTTATGAATAAAGACTTTAAGTGCTTCTTTTGGGTAATCCAGTGTCAAAAGTATGTCCAGAAATCGAGGTAGAAATGGGGTTGGTTGCTCAATAAAAACACCTACTGTTACATTTGGATAGACCTTTGTTTTACAGCAAACATAAGAAAAATTATCATTAGTGTGATTTTAATTTAAATTCTATTCAAGTCTTGCTTAGAACACCAAATATATTAGAATATCATTCCAATGTAATCTGCTAAATTTGAGTACCCCAATGGCAATTCTCTAATACCTGAAATACATTTTTGTAGACCCCATCAAAGTGATTGATTTTAGTACATCACACATTGGCATTGTGAATTAAGTTTAAAGAGGAAATTCACTATCATATTTATTACACAGATATTATTAAGGGTATAGCCTATTCTATGATTCAAAGCTTCCTTTATGGTAGGTCATAAAAAAAACTTCTTTCAGATCTGAATCTATTTGTACATCATCATAGAAACCAGAATGCTAATTGTGTTTCTCCTTTTGTTTCCATGGTTTACAAATTCAGTGGTTAATTTGTAGAAATAAAGGTTCTGAGCCTTTATTTCTCTCCTTGAATATTTCATTTAATAGTATTTATTATTTAAAAACTAATTTTAATATATACATATATACATATCCTATCTAATAAAAAAGTAATATGCAAATTGCACCACGCAGCTGTTTGGACATTAGTGACCATATCATACCTCCACTACACCCACAAGCCATGTCCACCAGCCAGTCAGGAGCGAGTATGCATTTTAACCCAACCAAGATTGCTGCAGCCACAGAGAAAGCAGAAGGGAGGCTTGGGTTTCCCTGGCAATGGAGGAAGTCAAGCTTTCCGCACACCCTGGCCAGTCCAGGCCTCCACTCAAGGCTACAAAGTTTCAATTATAGAAGATAAAAATATGCCAACAAAAATGGCGGCAGCCATGGAGCTGGAGGGAGCAGGAAGCTAGGGTTTCCTCCAGCAATGGAGGAAGCCAAGCTTTCTGCACACCCTGGCCTGGCTTGGCTTCCACTTATGGCTACAAAGTTTCAATTATAGAAGATAAATAAATCCCAACAGAAATGGCTGCTGCTATGGAGTGAGCAGAAGGCTTGGCTCCACTCCAGATAATAAAGTTTCAATTGTAGAAGACAAATAAATCTCAGATACCAGGGCCTCCGCTTGGGTCACCATGGGGCATGGTCAGCCTGAAAACCACCATAGGCTCTTCCCCAGGCCGCCCCACACCCCAAGGGAACCCCAGAACACCTTTCAGGGTAAACCAGCTGGCCCCCACCCGTGCACCAGGCCTCTATCCTATCTAATAAAAGAGTAATATGCAGATTGACCATTACACAAGTTGGCATCCCCCATGTGGTCAAAGATCCTGCCCCCATGTGGACACAAGATGGCCAGCAGGGTAGGGTAGTTGGGAAGGACCAGGCCTGCAAGGGAGGGCAGTTGTGGGCAATCAAGCCTGCAGGGGAGGACAGTTAGGGGTGACCAGGCCGGCAGAGGAGGGAAGTTGGGGATGACCAATCCCACAGGGGAGGGCAATTAAGGGCAAACAGGCTGCAATATATACAAAAATGTATATATTAAAATTAGATTATATATAATAAATACTATTATATATAGTAAATACTATTAAGTGGTTAGAGGGTGATCAGGCTGGCAGGTGGAAGTGGTTAGGGGCAATCAGGAAGATAGGCAGGCAAGCAATTGGGAGCCAGCAGTCCTGGATTGTGAAAGGGATATCCAACTGCCCATTTAGGCCTGATCCTACTGGGATTGGGCTTAAATGGGCAGTCAGACATCAGTGGGATCAGGCCTAAATATCCCTCGAGGGGTCCCAGATTGGAGATGATGCAGGCTGGGCTCAAAAACACCCCCCCCCCCCATGCATGAATTTCATGCACTGGGCTTCTAGTAAATATATATATATATATATATATATATATATATATATATATATATATATATATATATTTACATACACACATATACATATATATATACACTGAGTGGCTAGATTATTATGATCTCTGAATACATAATAATCTGGCCACTCAGTGTATATCCTATATAATAACAGTCTAATATGCAAATTATCACCTTGACCAGGAGTTTGACCAGCAGGTAGGCTGGCCAACTGCCCATACACACACACACACACACACACACACACACACACATATGTATGTATGTATCTTTTCCTATATAGGAAATGAAGTGCTACTTTCTTCATTGTATAAAAACAAAGAACTATGTTACATCATAATTATCTATACTAATAAAAAGAGCAGTATGCTAATTAGACAAGACGACTTCCAGACAACCTTCCAGATATCCTTCCTGGCAAAGTGGGGCCCGGTTGCCTGTGGCTGTGGCTGGCCCAGGATAAGCTGCCCGAGATGCTGGGCAAAGAAGCCTCCTGTGGTTCTAGGCAAAGAAGCTGCCAGTGGTCCCCGGTGAAGAAGCTGCTCCACCAACCAGCCTCCACCACAGATCTGTTCAGGGAAATGCTGGAGCCCAGGCATTCACTGGCTGCCATTAAGTGAGAGGCCGCCCTGCCTATGAGGAAAAGGGGGAAGGCAGATGGGCTGGTGGCAGCCTGGAGGCCAAAGCACCTGAGATGGTAGGAGGAGAGGGCTGGCAAGCACGCTTGCCTCAGGCCCTACCTCAGTGTGTGCACTGCAGCCCCACAGTCCAGGAGCCTTGGAGTGCTCCGCCATGTTTGCTGTATAAAGGGCTCTGCTAGAGGCACAGGCCAGGAGTAGCGCCAGCCCCTATGGCCTTTGTATGCGGCCCCTATGGTTTTTGTATGTGGCCCCTATGGCCTATGTATGTGGCCCCCAAGCATAGACTGCTGGTTGCTCAGTCTAGGCCTGGCACAGAGCCTTCACATGCATGTGGTGCGGCATCTGGAGCCTCTAGTTCATAGTCTTCCAGCCTGTGTCAGAATCTTCCCTTGAGCAATGTTTTTCTGCATATGCAAGTATAAATTCAGGGTTTTGTTTTATTCAGGGCTACTCCAGAAATTGAAGGAATTGCGAGTGATATCTTTCATGGTTTTGAATCATCCTCTGTGATTCTCTGATTTTTTGGTTGATAGTAGTTTCCTGGGTCAGGGGAAGTCTCCCTCTTCCCAGAGTCAGGAGCACCAGCCCAGGTCCACTCATTGGCCCAGCCCTGACCACAAAGGTGAGTTTCTGCATGCTGGAGTTTGATTCCCACACATTAGCCCTAGGAGACAAATACCTTTGTTATTGCTGTGTGTTCCAGTTTTAATTGGACAAATACCCGGTGGACCCGGTGCCAGCTTAGCAAAATATTTTAGGAGAATTCTGTCTGGGTTTCCTCAAATTCCCTCAGTCCCTACTCAACCCTCTGTAAAGGCACAGAACAAGTTAGGCCCCTTAAATAAAAATCACACGTCTCCAGCAATGGTGGGCTTCTCTCATCCCAGTCATTTGGACTGGATGGCATTTGAGTATTTATCTAGGCACCATGACAAAGAAACACAAGCTCAAGTCACGATCTGTGCCCTTAAATAATTCACAATCTTATTAGAGCGAGTGGATGATAAAAGCGCAGTAATGACATAGAATATAAGGCAACAATACAGAGAGGAACAGAGGCAATTGGTAGGGTGATTTTCCACCATTACTACAAAGAGTATGTGCTATGAATTAAATAAAGAAAAATATATGTGGAAGTAGTTGCTTCATGAGTATGACATCCCTGTTTTTAAAGGAAGCTGAGTTCCCTATGAACTGTGTATTATGCTATGATATTTGAGACATGGAACATGGGAGGCCCTAAGTGTACTATGCTTTAATATTTGAGACATTCTTTATTGTTCAATGTGATTTATTTCTATACTCAGTTTTGTAATAAATTACTGGAATACATCTTGCTATAAAATATTACTAAAAGATCAAATGATCAAGTGGCATTTATTGTTATTTTCTATAAATAAACACAATCTCTGGTATACTAAAGTGATAGGTATTACAGAAATATTCAGATAGGGAGACCTAAGGACTTGATTATAAGTGAGGTTTACTATCACAACCTAAATTTATTGCTTAAAAAAAAAAAAGCAGGGAGCCAAATAGAAACTGAACTGTCTTTTCTTGTGCCAGTATAAAGCTGTTTTGATTAAGTGGCTTTGTAGTATAGCTTAATATGGATATCAAGAGCAACAAGAAAGAATTCAGAGGCAAGAATGAGAAGCAGATTGCATCAACTCTAAGTTGCTGCTAAAGAAAAAGAATGGTATACTATGAAAATACTTAATACAGAGTGTAGAGAGATTTGTTTAAATAGGATTGCATAGAGTAGGTGGTATTTCAGTTATTTTTTTTTTAAATGTGAAGAGGTTAGCTAGATAAGAAAAAGGTGTAGAGGTCCCAGATTGGAGAGGGTGCAGGCTGGACTGAGGGACCCCCGTGCACGAGTTTTGTGCACCCAGTCTCTAGTATTATTTGTATATAGGAAAGCTATTTTCTTTCACTAACACATTTTTTTCTTTTTAAAAATAAATCTTTATTTTTGATTATTACAATTATTCCTCTTCCCCCCCCATAGCTCCCACCCCACACTCAGCCCTTACCCCCCCACACTGTCCTTATCCATAGGTGTACAATTTTTATCCAGTCTCTTCCCACACCCTCTACACCTCTTTCTCCCCCCCCCTTAGAATTATAAGTCCACTCCCATTCTATGCCTCTGATTCTATTATATTCAGTTTATTCTGTTCATCAGATATTATACTTACTAGATTTTTAGATTCACTTGTTGATAGATATGTATTTGTTCATAATTTTTATCTTTACCTTTTTCTTCTTCTTCTTCTTCTTCATAAAGAATACCTTTCAGCATTTCATATAATACTGGTTTGGCAGTGATGAACTTCTTTAGCTTTTTCTAACTGTGAAGCTCATTATCTGCCCTTCAATTCTGAATGATAGCTTTGCTGGGTGGAGTATTCTTGGTTGTAGGTTCTTGCTATTCATTACTTTGAATATTTCTTGCCACTCCCGTCTGGCCTGCATAATTTCTGCTGAGAAATCAGCTGATAATTGTATCGGTGCTCCCTTGTAGGTAACTA